TCGTACACTCCTTCCTACATCATATCCACTGACTAGATCTGAGTCACTAACCCCGTATAGCAGGACTGACACCGGAGCCAGGACACGTTCCTGTCTGTCCACCTTGTCTTCTTCCGCCAGGTTGTAAAAATGACATTTCGCGCTCACTCGGCACTCCTCCTTGATGCCCCATTAGCATGGCTGGTCTACAAACACGGCCGCCCAGCCCTCTTTCCCTTTTCCCAGCATTCCCATAGCTCCCCAAAGCGGTGGGAATACTCGTCCTTAAAAGCGATTCACCTGCTTCACCGCGTGGCCGAGGCTAGAGACCAAGCTCCTCATCGCTGGTAGTACGAGACTCCGGGGGCGGAGACACGGCGTCAATAACGGTTTTTTGGGGAACTGGAGTTAGCGAGAAGTTGATCGATTAAGACCATACACAACCATCATCATACCCCGTCCCCCGTGATTCAAGCACCAACCCAATTTCACCCTAGGCAGCCGCATTTTCATACCGAATTTACTATCAAAACTTGGGTCTAACAATGACCGAACCGGAGGTGAAGTGACCGTAGTGTGGTAGACCTGGAAAGAGAGCCACTTACAGGAGAGTTGCCACAACACGAAGAGACAAGAGGAAATTATATAAATTGTGACGGGGCAACGGCAGCAATACCGGCGCGCCATGTGCCCATTAAGCAAGTTTAGTCAGCAAAATGGAAGAGCAAAAACTTACGAAGCCGAGGAGGATGCGATTCTTAAGGCAGATACCACAAACGGCGCAAATGCAGGCGATAAAGATAATTAGGCCAAGTGACAGGATGGCGACTCCGGCGGGGCCTGAAGGGAAAAACGGGAAAATACGTTAGAATAAACACAATAAACATGCTCCGAATGTGGAATGGCAAAAAACCTTTCGAGGTATGAAATTTGCTTGTTGCTAACTGCGCCATTGATGGGTCTCGGGTCTAAGGGACAAGTCTTGGCCGTCAAAGCAGCTAAAATAGTGCAAGGATAAAATGGGTTCAAGCCCTTGGAAAAGCAATGCCCAATGGTGCTTTGGACAGACTTACCTGGTTGTTGAGCTTACTTCCATTTCGAGTAGAACTGTTGGGTGAAGAGATTCGAAGGTCGGTTCCACCAAAAGACGACGGCAGATTCCTCTTGACCAGTCGTCGATTGGCTTTACTGGAAGATTCATGCTGACGCTGTTTCCGAGGCAATCTCCTTCGATTCCGGTGAA